CTGACTTTAAGCCTGATTATAAATTTGGAGACATGTATAGACTGCATGGTGCAATAGAAAGGGCCTAGTAAAAAATGTATATTTAAATTTGGCTCTGACATTTACATAAAAGCCCTCTTTAGAGATACACTAAAGCAGTTTTCTCAAACTTTAAATGTGTACATAAATCATCTAGGGATTTTATTGAACTGTAGATTGTAATTAAATAGATCTGATGTGTGATGCATGGAGTCTGACGTGCAGCATTTCTACCAAGCCCACATGTATGCTGATGCTGTTGGTCCCTGAACCAACTTTGAGTACCAAGGTCTTAGAAGATTATTGTTAGAATGTGGAAAAGGCACATGTGTGCATAGGAAGACACTTTGTGAATGGTAAAATAGCATATATAACACTTTACATTGATAAAAATAGTCAAGGATTCAATTCATTAAGAAAAGTCCTAGTAGAACAAATTACGTTTCAGATACTTTTCAAATTTTCCTTTTTCACAAAACCAAAAACAAAACTGGGAATTAGAGAGGCAGAACAAGAGAGATATTCATCCTAAACAATATTGTTGCTTTTTTACTGTCTTGAAAGATTCAATTCTGTATCACTATCCACTAAAAAATGGGGTGGGAGGTGGGAACTGCTCTTGTTTTGTTCTTTAGAAGTTTGCACAATTAGAACCAGTACCAGATACATCCTAGAGATTGACTTGTTCCAAGTAAAATAGAAATAGAAAATTACAAAGAGGAGGAAGATGGTTGGCTCCAGGAACACAGGCAGCAACAATAAGGGATCACTGTTAGGGGAAGAAATTAAAAACTAGTAAATCAGACACAAGAACAGAGACTCAGAGCTGTTTAAACTCAGAGCTGTTTAAACACTTAGCTTCCCTTAGTGAACCTGTTGTTTCTCATTGATGTTTGCATTTTCTAAAGGAAATGAACAAATTTCACAGGCACAGTCACTGATTTATAAAGCATTTCTGTGTTCCTTATCTAAAATACAATCAACAATTCCCTGTTGAAGAAAACATAGATTCTTTCTGAGTTTCCAGTCCCACAACATTTTGGCCAATATTTTATTATTACATGGTCAGTTTGCTACACTATATGAAAAAGATTTTTATCACATATTAGAGAACACAAAGCAGACCCCTCCGATGGGTTGAACCCTTTCCAATCTTTTAGAATTTGGACAGAATGACTCTCTGTCACACATGCAGATTACCAACACCTTACTTGTTCCCATGATGAACCTCTTTACAACAGTTCTGGAGCCACCATGATTATAGAGTTAGAACTCTGCTTCAGAGAAACTGAATTTTCATCAGTCTCACTTTTACCTAAGTTTTCTACTTTGTCTTCCTGCTCCCATTTCTGTTTATCCTCTCTCACCTGCTTATAGTGAAGGGCAGTATCATTCATAATCCAAAATGCCATTATTAAACAAATATGCAAGAATACACACTTAAGTTTAGTGCCATCAGAGAGAGAAAGAAATAATAAACAAGGCTGAAATTCGAGTAACTGTCAATGTGTTCTGGCTGTGTCATTATAAATTCAAAGTGAAATACTAACACCAATTACTAACTTAATTCTTCAGTCCAGTCAATATCAATCATATCATGGTGCCATTTAAATGCAAAACAGCTATTGAGAGATTACTCTGAAAGTATTCAAAATGCAGAGATTTTAGAAATATTTAAAGACACCAGAACTGTGCTCTGGTGGGGAATATCACACAGCTGCACGTTGTTTTCTGCTGCAACTCTGGGTAATCTGGGTCAGCTGCCCCCGGTGGGTAGCCTTATAATTAGGCAGCTCTTCATTTTCCAGCCGCTTTACCTAAGAAAACCTGAAGCTTTGAGGATGACTGAGCAGCAGTTCCCCTCAACAGAAACACTTGCGTGGTGTACCAGGAGTGGTTTTAAATGGTGGAGATAATTACTTAATTTGAGCTGTAGCAACTGGCCAAGTAAACATGTAGCAGCCAGGAAGCTATTAGCATGATTTTAAGGCAATTATTCCATTAGTGTTTAATAGTCTCCAATTAGTCTTCTCTATCAAAGTTTGAATATCTTTTTTTCCTCCAAAAATTCTCAGTGCTGAATAATGCAAAAAGGTGCCAAACCTGTTTTTAAACCTGGTTTTTTACACGTGTGTATCTTCCAAACCCATTTACAGAAACATGGGGGTATTCAGGAGTATAGATTTGATGAAATATGTTGTGTCTATTTTTTTCTTACAAGTATTGGAGTGAGAAGGGGAAGTTTTACAGGGGATCCATTTGAGTATAATACCAAGAGGAGTTGGGAAAACAATATAAATTCCCATGGAAGCCCAATGCCATCATCATCTTCATGTCTGTACTCTAAGATCACCCAGATACCAAAATCTCTCACTTCAGGTTTTTATTTTGTCCATGGGAGGAAAGGAAAATTACTCTGTTCCCACTAATGCTTACTTCCTTGTTTCTTAACCCTGGTTAGTCACAGTTGCTGCTGAATCATCCAGATACAAATCAAAAAGCCTTTCCCTCCAAAATTCATAGGGTATCTTCCCAAAGGTCCAATTAAGGGGTCAGATCCTTGAACTGATAGGGATCTGCATTTGTCTTCGCTTAGCTTCAGTTTTTTCATCTGTGACATCGAGGTAATAGTGCCAGCACTGCCTGCTTCATGGGGTTTTGGAAGGATTATGTGAGCTGGTGTACATAACAGAGATTGGAAAGTGAAATATTACAGAAAAGTAAGGTAGACTCAAAAAAGGTATCATACCATCTCTCAGAACTAGATAAGCAAACTTAGGCTTTTAATCCTGTATCTCTAGAGAGTCACCTGCCAGAAGGTTTGCATCACACTGATTGCCCTTCTCACCTTCTACGCATATAAAAACATTCAGAGGAGACCATGTGAAAGAAACTGTCAAAAATCCAAATAAAAATGAAGAAGGAAAAGGAATGGGAATGCCTGTGGAAGCGAGAATGGAGTTATGCCAGAGTTGTGCTTTCTACTGTCTCCTTGAAAAGAGCAATCCTCAGGCTCACCTAGGTAGCAGAGTAAGTGCTGCATGGAGAACCTCGGGTTGGTTCTTTTCCTTGGAGATCCCTGGCCCTTGGGAAGCTATCTGTTGAAGAAGGACAAAAGGAGACAGCCCCTTCTGTGGATAGCACTTGTAGCAGAGACTATGCCTGCCATTGCTGTCAAATATTCACTTGACTAACAACCATTGATTTGAGGGACTAATCAATGGCAGCACTGTTGGTTGGAGCATCTAGTGATTTTCAAAATAACCCTTCTTTTGTTTTTGTTTTTGTTCTGTTTTGTTCTTTATTATGTTTTCCTCCAATAGCTGAGAGGGGGCGCTGGATGGAGCAGATCAAGAGGAGGTAGACCAAAACGTTGAATTTAATAACCCAGCTTAGTTCAGGGCCAGAAGTGGAATGTTCATGAGTAATTTGCCCTCCAGCCCAGCTCTGAAAAGATCAGGTGTGTGCTCCCGTAGCCCAACTGCATAGCCAAATTGCTAATAAAGTATGGCCGTGTCCCCAGCTGTCATTGTTGTAAACTGTCCTGAAACAACCCTCACTCCTGGATACCTGATCTGGGGGTTGCTAGAATCTCCCACCCTAGAAACTTGCCCGGTCTATGGTCCAAGTCGCACACGTCAAGCTGAAGCTTCTTGATCCCTCAGGTCTCTTCTTCGCTTTGTCCACCCTTCTTTCCTTCTAGGCTGTCTGGACACATTCTCAGTCACCTTTTCCCTAAAATTTGCCTATTAATCCCACCCCTCTACTGCAGGTCACCCAGGTTCCCCTGCCCAGCTTCTGTCCCAAGCAGCAAACACACGGTCCACAAGGGTTTGCTTTTCTGACCTGGGCGAAGTGTGTTGCCAACACGCACTGGGAGCAGACTCCAGACGGCGACCACTTGGCCAGGCCCCCCCGGGGGCCACGCCAGTACTCAACGGTGCCCTCTGCCCGTCGCCCCCTTCGGCTCCTTTTCAAGGGCAGCTATCACGCCGCCTCTGGTCCCTGAACTTTCATCACTCTTCGGGAAGCGCTTTGTCTTTTTAAAGGAGATTGGGGACGAATATTAATGACTCTAGCCGAGAATCTATCAAATCCGCTCAATTCCATGCCAGGGATAGACTCAGGTCCTTGCACCGGAGGCGAGCCCCTGACACTAGCTCGCGTTCGCCGCACACTGTCACCCCACAGACCCAGAGATCGCTCCCACTCCCCCAAATCTGCAGGGGAAACCATAGGAGGGGGTCACGAGGCACCATCCTGGAGCCCAGCTTCTCCTCTGCCCCAGTCCTCCGCATATAACCTGCTTCAAACGCCCAGGAGAAAAGCAGTCACCTTGACTCTAGCGCCTCGGTCCTTAGAGGTCTGGAAAACGCCAGGAAGCCCAAGGCTACCCGGCACGGGCTCGCCTGGCCTGAGACCCACCCTGGAAGACGAGTTTCCCTCCCGCGGGCATAGTGGCAAGTTACCACTTAGTGGCAGATAAAGCAGGGCGGGGCAGGTGGAGCGGGCGCCGAGCTCCTAGCCGGCAGCCCCTGCGCGCCTACCTGGAATGGCTAAATTGGTGAGGGGGATGCTGTGGATGCTCTCCGGCAGAGTTGCCATCCAGTCGGCTAATTTCAGCTCGTTTTTCCCCTGAGACGAAGCCATCGTGCAGTCGGCGTGCAGCGCGCTGGTCCCAGCACTCCTCGGGCAGGTTGGCAGGCTGCTGCCGCTAATCCAATGTTTGCTCCAGCCCCGCTAGAGTTTACACTCCTCTGTGCGCCACACCCACAGGATGGCGCAGACACATGCTAATTTTAATAATTATTCAAAACACTCCGTGCTCCTTTAGTGCCTCCGCCAGACTCCGCTGGAGCTTTTGTTCCTGACGTCGGTGCTCTGCTCTCTCCGCTCTCCCCTCCCTCTCCATCTCCCTCCTCCCGTCTTACCCTTTCTAGGCGTCTCTGCCTTTCCTCGCCATTCTGCAGCTTTCCCTGGTTTATTTTTCTTTTCTATTCATTTTTTTTCCCAACTGCTTTGCCCATGGCTTGCTCGGTCCTTTGGTGTGACTTTCTCGTCCTGTTTGTACGAAAGACAGTCTTGCAGTTGAACCTAAAATCCTAGTAGACTTTGGGATGTTATTGCTTCCTGAGGAACAGACTTTTCATGCTGGCTTTCAGGGCTTTCCATCGCTATCAAAGAGCTTTCCTTTTTGTAATCTACAACAGGTTATACCTTTCCTCAGCCAGAGACCACAACCCTGTTTATTAAAAAATGATGATCTTTATTCACTCTTTTGGCTACTTTGTGAAATAGCTGGTAAGTGTGGGTCAGTGAAGGACATGGTAAATTCTAGGTGGTTCCCACCTAATCCTGGGTACCTTGCTCCAGACATTTCAAAGTCAAGAAATGCTGTTCCCCCTTCTTTTCTCAGATCATGAGAAGTCTACATTATTTCTATGGAGAAAACTGCCTCTGTCCTGTCAGTTTCATGGCACTCAGGGTAAGACTGGAGTCTTATGCTGGAAGAAAATCACCACATCTCCCAGTGACATGCTCTAATTGTTGCCAGTAGCATTTGTTGGAATGTATTTGGTACCATTCAAAGTGATCTATGTAACTGTCTGGATTTTCATTCTTTGCAGACTGGAAAGATGTGCCTCTCTCAAGAGAAATCACTCACTGAGCCTCCAAAGAACTGTCTGGGTCCACCTGCTCTCAGATGAGTAAAAGGAGAGAGATGAAGTTTTACAAATGTAATGAGACCAGCAGTGGCCTCAATAGGAATTATAGGAGATGAACTGAAAGTGTGCTGGGCCTTTGCAACCCAGGAAATGGAGATGTAATAAAGAGACCTCTGTTCTTTCATGCCAGGGTTGTGTAAATTTTTATTTTTCTATGGGAAATACTATTAGATTGGGGAAATGACAATCAACATAGGAGACAAAGAGAGCCGTAAAATATGAGAATAATTATTTAAGGTTAGTGAATCCATTTAATCCCAAATAGCATTTAAAAAATAAGAAAAAAAAACCTGGAGCCTATCTTATTTCCTGCAATGATGCTAAGTCCTGAGAATATTCACCCCCAAATGGGGAGCAATATGGGAAAGATAGAGGACAGGTAATATCTCATTTTGGTTATCAAATTTTCCATCTACCTTATAAAATAAATTCATACCTTCAAGACAACATGGTACAGTTACTTTTAATGATGAGGAAGAGATGTACTGAAATTTTTTTCCCCAAATAAATCTTAATATACATGCTAGTACAATAGAACCCACACCCACATATCCTTTTAATTAGGATGATAATTCAGCCTACTATGGGACTCCTGGTAAAGAGATCTACAAACACCACCCTTCTGTAAGAAACCTACAAACACCACCTAATGCTGGTGATCTCAGGGCATGATTGCAGGGCAATGAGGAAAGTTCAAATCTAGCGGTCAGCTGCTCTGTCTCTGAGTAGTTTGGGCAAGTCCTCTAGTCTCTGCTAGCCCCAGTTTTCTCCATTATAAAGTGGTAATAAGAACTCAGAGATTTGTGGTGAAGCTTCCAGAAGAGAGTGCATATATGTTTAAGATAACAGGATATGTGTATTTACCACTCTTTGTCTTTTCTATACTTATAAAGTATTTTTTTCAAGAGCATGAAATAATTATTGAATCTGGGGTATATTTTTAATAAGACACATTTTAGAAACATGCCCTGTTAAAGTATATTGAGCTTATGTGGCCCTAAAAGTTTACAAAGCATTTTTTAAAAAATGAAACCACCTTAAATGGTAAGGAAAGTTCCCTCTCTAAAGAATCATACTATCTTTTGGCAAAACACACAAACAATCCCTTCTGTGTTTCGTCTGATTTGGATTTCAGAATTTTAAATGTTTTGGTTTAATATAAGTTATTATCATTTTCTGCTTGCAACCCATTAAAAAAGACGGCCTGAAAGTTGATAGTTGTGAATTTCTTTCTCAACCTTATAAACAATATTTTGGGCAATTATATGACCCAGTTTCTCCATCTTTCTATCACCAACCCTGCTGCCATTTACTAAAACACATTAGAACAATCACGTAATATCTCTGGGCTTTAATTTTGTCACTGGATTAATCAAGGTTCTCCAGAGAAACGGAACCAGTAGTATATATAGAGAAAAAGAGATTTAGTTTAGAGAAATTGTCTCATATGATTGTGAGAGCTGGCAAGTCCAATATATGTAGGGCAAACTGGAAGGCTGGAACATGAGATAAGAATTGTTCCTGCAGTCTTGAGTTCAAAATCTGCAGAGCAGACCAGTAGGCAGGAACTCAGGAAGGACTTCTATGTTGCAGTTCTGAGGCAGAATTGCTGCTTCTTCAGAGAGCTTTAGTCTTTGTTTTTAAGGCCTTCAACTGATTTAATGAGACCCACCCACATTATAACAGGTAATGCACTTTACTCAAAGTTAAATGATTATAAATGTTAATCACATCCACAAACACCTTCACAGCAACATCTACACTAGTGTTTGACCAAGCAATTGGGCATCACAGCCTAGCCTAGTTGACATATAAAATAAACCATCAAACCCACTTGCAAATTGACTAGAAGTTACTACCAAACTCTAAAGCCCCCTTTGACTCTATTATTCTATCATTTTATTTTCTTTATGATTTTTCTCATTTATATAGCTGCTCAAAATAGCAAAAGGAGGCATGTAATATTTACTTTCTTTCTTTCTTTCTTTTTTTTTTTTGAGACGGAGTCTCACTCTGTCACCCAGGCTGGAGTGCAGTGGCGCAAACTTGGCTCACTGCAAGCTCCGCCTCCCAGCTTCACGCCATTCTCCTGCCTCAGCCTCCCTAGTAGCTGGGACTACAGGAGCCCGCCACCATGCCCGGCTCAATTTTTTGTATTTTTAGTAGAGATGCAGTTTCACCGTGTTAGCCAGGATGGTCTTGATTTCCTGACCTCGTGATCTGCCCGCCTCGGCCTCCCAAAGTGCTGGGATTACAAGCGTGAGCCTCTGCGCCTAGCCTGCTTTCAATTTTTAATTCATGCAGACAACTCAAGATATAGACCAACATTTTTTTCCCCTCAAAACAGATGAGAAAACACCAATGGTTTTTAATTATGGCATTGATAGTAGTCTACCTCTGAGAATCAAATGCTTTTAGGCATAAATGAAAAGAGAAAAATGACTCATTGCAGTGGCTTCGTGCTACCACCAAAAGTTGTTTGTGTAATGCTCTGCTGTCCATCAAATTCATACCACGCAAAGTTGATGAACATGGATACTCATCTGGAACATTTTCTTACTTCATATCCTCTTCCACCCATAAAAATACATAACTCTTTTCCATGTATGTTCTTCCATTAATTCATAATCTTTCTCAATCATTGGACATATATATTTTATTTTTGTAACTGGATTTATTTTGAATTATATTCTGAAAAGCAAGGGTTCTTATAGATCAGAAAACTTTAGAACACATTTTAGTCAAATAATATTTTGAAAGAGGAACTTTGTCTAAAACAATTCTGCCAAATTATTTTTTTAAACACAGTATTCTAAAATATACACTTACAGAATCAGACTTAAAACATATCCAAAAGGGCAACAAAAAACCTTTGTGAAATTAACTATTAATAATCAAATTTTTTTACCATACTTTACAACTTTTATTTAGATATTCCATCCAAAGAATTTTTCTGTGTTTTAAGGACAAAAATGCTTTTGTACTTAAATTCAAAGTAGAAAAAAGTGACGACCCTCTCTTTTCACCACCAGTTTAACCCTGCAGAGTTTTCTGTCTTATCTCTCTTGTCCTCTCCTAGTCTACCTTTTATATGTCAGCCCTAAACAAGCTAATTTACACTCACTGAATGTAATCTATTGGCTGGAATCACCAGTTATAGAATGTGATGATTCAAATCCAGGTCTTCCCAGTCAATTACTGTGCGTTTCTTCATATCTTTTTCTGAAATATAAAGAATGATTATTTTCTCCTGGAGGTGGGGAAATGGAAGATGCTATGAAGCTTAATAAAGTAAGGAATTGAAAGTTTATTAACAGACTGGAAGATGAAAAATTATACTTTCATGCTTTTTGCTCCCACCATGACTTTGCTCATGGACATGAAATGAATGTACTTCATGCTTTCATCTATCAAAATTCTTTCCATTCTAACCAACGCCTCTTTGCAATTTCCCTTACTATCTGCAAGTGGAAGTAATCTTTCTTATCTCTGTACACCCATTGCGGTTTGTAGTATTGTGTCTCTCATTCTCTAGCTAGTCTTAAAGCATATTGTAGGCAAGGATGATGTCATTTAACACTCTCTAATGTCTTTCACAGAGACCAAGACATAATAAGGGCTCATTCTAATCATTCGTTTTACTCACTTATTTCCTTATTTCATAAATATTTATTGAGTGTCTATTATGTGCTCTCAGAAAAAATAGAGCAGCAAGTCCCTGAACTCTTTGACTTGATGCTCCAGGCAGAAAGTGGCAAATGATAGCTTTATGGCTCAATAAATAAATGACTTGGCCGTATCTCTTATCTCAATGGCAAAATCCAAATTTTGCATCCCTATTTTTAGCACTTGGGTAAGTAGCAAAACACCAAAGACTTACACCTTAGTTTTGAAAATACATTTTAAAAGAAAAATTGGAAGAATTGTTTTGTCTCTCTATACTTTTTCCCTTAATCTTTCCCATCTCTATTGCATTTTTCCCTAATACAGTAGGGAAGAGATTTGGAAATAACATGATAAATTCTTCTAGATCTCCAGGGGTCATTACTATGAAATGTTTGATTTCTCAGAGCTTGGGCATTGGTGGAGGTGGAAGTGGCCTGGGAAGGGAGAAGGAAACTGTTTTAAATTCATGTGCAGAGTAAAAAAAATCCTGGAACTCTTCTACCCATCACTGCCAAAAACTTAGGACCATTGTACACCAATACTTGTAGAAGCATTATTCACAATTCCCAAAGGTGGAAACAACACAAATGTTAATTGACAGATGAATGAACAAAATGTGGTATATGCATTCAATGGGATATTATTCAGCCTTAAAAAGGAATGAAATTCTAACACCTGCCACAGCATGAATGAAACTTGAAGACATTATGCTATGTGAAATAAGCCAGACACAAAAGGACAAATGTCTTATAATTCCACTTATATGAGATTCCCAAAATAATCAAGTTCATAGAGACAGAAAATAGAATAGCAGTTATCAGGGGTTGGGGCAGGGAGAAACAAGGACTTTTTGTTTAACGGGTAGAGTTTCAGTTTGGGATCCTGAAAAGTTTCTGGAGATAGATAGTGGTGGTTGCACAACAATGCGAACGTTCTTAATGCCACCGGACTGTACCCAAAATGCTTAAGATGGTCAATTGTATGTTATGTATACTTTACTAAATAAAAAAATGACCCTTGACTCTGTTGGGCAAATTTACCCTATTTTATCTGTTACAAAGTTGCCATTGTAACCACTTAGTTTTAATAATAGTTTATTCTCCAGCTGATGACTACCAAGAACGCATCTCAAGTTGAACAAATTGAACTTATCACTTGTTGCGCTGAGTGAGAATGTGCACCATGGGAACCTGGGGACACTTTAGAAAGAGGATGTTAGAAAGAACTTAAAATATTTGAGCTTGCATTAGGTGATTTGAAACAGAGTTTAAGAAAGTGGAGCTTCACTCTGATTTGGATGCTGTCAAAAAGTGAGGAGAAGGTAATTCTATAATTAGGTTTCATGAGAAACCTCATCTAGAGTGAAGAAACACTGGACTAAGGCTAAATCTGTAATTGATAAATAGGAGTCATTCATTAGAATAGAATCGTCGGTCATT